CACAAACGTATCAGCTCTCCCAACCATCCCACATCCTGCTTGTCTAAAAAAATCATCCCACATCCAAATTACCCAGACAGACTGCCCAGATCCGTCCCAATCTGGGCGAGATCAGCGCAACCCCACAGAAATGGCGCAGATCTGGGCGGAGGAACCACGGATACACAAGGAAAAGCTTGATCGACGCCGGAAGGCCGCCGTACAGATTCTAATTTCCGACACCCGGACCGGGACAGTGGAGCGGATGCGCCGGGCCAGGGCGACGGGGGCGAGCCGACCCGGCTCAGACCGCAGATCTAACGACGGGGAGAAGAAGGGGCGGAGCAGATGGGGGCGAGGGATCTCACCTGACGGGATCAGAGCGGGTCCCCGCGGTGGCAGCGGCGGCGAAGGGGGTGAGGAGCTGAGGAGGTCGCGAGGCGTCGCCGGTAAGATTGTGTCTGGACGCGGTGGATGGAATGGGACGGAGAGCCGGAGAACGAGGTAAAGGCACCACACGGGATTGGGCTGGGCCGGGTGGTGGAACGACCTTTTCTGCACTCGCCTCGCTGAAACTGGTGGAATGATTTATTTATTTATTTTACAGAGATGAAAAAGTTGGGATTTGTAGGTTCATACGCCCCCCTCCCCACACACACACAGCCGGTTTTCCTCCCCTCCCATGGCGCAATCTCTCTCCCACCATCGATTTGTTTTGGCAGACCGATACCCTCTTGTATGAAAAATATCTCCTACCTCCTTCCGTTTCTTTTCTCCTCCCGATCCCATGAGCTGGCTAGGTCAACAACTCTCGCTTGCATGCAGAAGCCGCCACGCTCCTGCCCCCACGCGATCATCGAGACCCTCCCACCCAGCATGCCACCACCTTCGCCCTACCATGGTGCCATTGCCACCCTCCCTATTGTGTGTTGTCGCCGCCACCATCCCGCCGGCATGCGACCTTACCCTTCAACTGACCTAACATCATTAACCGGAGACCATCGTGTCTCGACGGCAAAATTGTAGGAGTAACCGGTCCTGATTGCACAACCTTTTGAATAAGAGTAGGACCAGGTAGATTAAGAAGTTCGCTGACGGGAAGAGTTGGATTGTGTGGTACCACCATTCAATTGCGACATTCTTTTATTTTTTAGGAGGAAACGACAGGAGAGGCTCCTATTGTATTTAATAACAAAAGATATTAATGTTACATATTTACAAGAGGGGCGCCACTTGTTCGTTGTTTTGCCTCGGTTGCTCTTAACGTGTTCCTACCTTCTGTCATGCGATGTCAAAGGCGTTCCAGGAGGCGTTGCGCATGATAGAACGTTGGCGAGTCACAGGTGCACCACGTCATCATGGTCTCCAACAGTACCACATGGTACGTTGAGGTTCACGTATCATTAACAAGTTGAAGATGAAGTTGTGTGCGTCATAAATTGGAGCGGCTCGTGATTTTGTATGTTGACCCTTCCTTGTAGGTACTTCTTAAGCTGGAGGACAACATATTAGTCAAGACATTAGGAATCTCCATTGATGTTTTATCTCTTGTGTGCACTTATTTGTTTGCTCCAATTCTATATATTCTCGCGAGTAGATGAGGTGCAAGCATGTGCAATGTAGTTCCTTTTTCTGCATCTATTCTTCTCATTCCAATTTATGCAGCTAGTGTTATAAAACCCCATGAAAGAAGAGGTGGTTTATGCGGCATGATGATGGTTGTATGTTGTCGTGGAGAAATTAAAGGTGCATGCATGTTGACTGCAAGGATTGGTAGAAGTAAAGAGTAGCAGTGCTAACTAATGTTGTTTTTTGATTTGTTTGTGATTAGCTTGGTAGTACAACCAGTGTTCTCAAAAAGATAAGTAATTGTAAAGGTAAAAATATATGCAGTTTGGCCTCAAATGGCACATTTAGATTTGTATAATGATTTCTCTTTCAACGTGTTTGGTTGGGGGGTTAAAGATTGGAAATGAGAGTTTAAGGTACATGAAAATTAAAACCCTTTGATTGGCTCAGGGATATGGGAATTGAGGAGGGAAGGGTGGGAATTAAGAGGTCCAACTACCCAAGATCTCTTCCTAGGGGACCCCTAATACTTGATGTGAGGATTGGGAATTGATAGAAAAAATAACGGTTTGTACGTGCGCGACGGAATTAACAGACTACGGATCCCTTATCTCCCATCGGACTAGCCCGGGGAAGTATAGTAGTCGTCCTATCTGCCAATATGACCCACACATGATTTGTTAGCTTGGTTAGTCAATTAATTGCTTCTTGTAACAACTTCCCCTAAATACGTTTATCGCCTTCACTGACTCTGGCCCTTTACTTCCTTGATTGCTTCCTAGTATGTAACAGATGTATCAGAATGGTTCTCTGCCATGTGATTGGAATTATTATTAATATTTAGGATATTTTTTAGGAGCTATTTGTTTTCTGCTTTTTCTGGTAAGTTGGGATTTGCTTTCATAAAAAACAAATACAAGAAAATAATTATTACTGAAGCTACATTTCTGAGCAGCCCAACATAGTAAGGTGGCATGGAAGCATTATTCTTTATCTATGGAAGCATCTTTTTATTGTGAGAATGGGATGGAACCATAATTTTCGATCGTATGATCAAAATATTTTTGTATCGAGTGAAGCATTCACTACAAAAAAAAGACACATCCGTGATGATACGTATTTGTCATAGTATGTCACATCTTGTGTTATGCATGTACATCCATGACGATTTTATAATAGAATCAAGATAGTCATGCATGTGTTGTCGTAGAAGTGTTTCATGACATTACCAAAATTATCATCACGGAAGTATCCACTTCCATGCCGATAAATCGCGCGTCATAGAAGTGCTTTCGTTAAGGGTAACCGACATGTGGCATCCATCGTAACGGGTCGTTGTTAAGCTATCAGGTTCCGATTTGGATCAGATAACCCGTTAATAGCCCAGACCAATGGGGATTTTCCACGTGTAAAATTCTCATTCACCGGCAGATCCACATGACAGCCCGACGTTTGAACAGTTGTCATTCGGCAAATGGACGAGACATGCCTATGATACGTCGACACGTGTCTCGGCCCAATAGTGGCCCATTCAGATTAAAAGGCCGGGCCTATCAAAGTAAGCGGGCCAGCCCATTAGCGGCCTACTTGAGTCAGACCCATTCACAAGCATGGCCCATACAAGTTACACATAATCGGCCCACCAAAGGTTCACTCTAGATTTGTCAGTTTTCAGCCCATCATCAGTTTCAGCTCATTAACGGCCTACTACGTCTTGAGCCCAATTATGGCCCGAGCTTCTTTCGGCCTGTTAGCCATCGTCAGTTACAGCCCGTTAACGGCCCGGAACATCTTTCGGCCTTTTCTTGGCCCATTCTACAGTTGGGCCAACTTCTAACCAGTTGTGACTTTAGGCCTGTCCTTGGCCCATTCAGTAAATGGGCCAAATCCTAGGCTGTTTTTGTCTTTCGGCTTGTTAACGGCCCGCATAATAATTGGGCCTTTGATTGTGCAACCTAATTTTGGGTCCATTAGGGCCCATGTTCCGCAGGGCAAAATTTCAGCCCGACGCGACTTTCGGCCCGTTAAAAGCCTAGTTTACAAATTGGGCCTCCTCTGGCCCATAACACTTTCACCTTCTTACTGGCCCGTAAAGTAAAAGAGCTGAGAAAA